GTCTATCTATTCACACTCTTAAACATCGTAGATTAGTAGCCACAAGATCTTAGCAAAGAAAAAAAAAATATCTTGGCTACAATCATGGCCACGTTTTCCTTGCAAAAGCCTCCACCTTTCCACAGGCCCCCACACCTTCATATCGCAACAAAAGTCGTAGCTTTATTAATGGGCCACCAAAGTGATAAGCCCCACCCATTAATAATGAAGAAAACCTATTATTGTCCAACTATTCTGGGCCCAATTAGTCCTTCTCACGCCCAAGCCCATTTTTAACCTCTCCCGCAAAAATAGACAAAAAACTTGAAATTGGCACCAAATTAAGCCAACAGAGATTCCTTTGCACGTAAAAGCACACGGATTTTATTTTGAAAATAAATAAATAAATAAATAAAAAAGATAATTTACGTGGGGCCCACCGTTTTACGCGCCTGCACGTTCCAATCTTCCCCTTCCTTTTCCTCTTTTGTAATAACAGAATTTTTATTTAAAAGTGAATTTGATTTATTGAATTTAAGGAATATCTCGTTACTGAACCATTTTCTCGGAGTATGTCATTGTTAAATTAATTATTTATAACGGTTACATGTTGATCTAACGGTTACATACTTAGACGGAATAGTTCCGTAACGAGACCTTAACATTTCCCTAAATTTAAATACGATTTATATAATTTCTTTTTGGAGAAAGTTAATGTATTAGATGAGTGTTTTACAAAAAATATGGTTTACCTACTTTGTTTTTGGAGAAAGTTATTTATTAGATGAATGATTAAAAAGAGTAACCTGTGGTACTACCGGACGACGGTGGTCCGGTGGTCCGAGCGATACAGTAACATTATAAATACGACTTTTTTACAAAGTACTAAAAAATAAAGTTTTTCATACTGAAATGTATCGATCAAAATACTGGCTAAAGTATCAAAAGATATTAATATTTGTGTGTTTTTTTATCAAGTATTTTTACTTAATTTGAATGTTCTACAGTTAATTTATACATGTTTACATTCTTATCTTTTAATCAATTTAGCATTAAGTTATTTAACTTTATATTTTTTTATATTATAATTAAAATTTTAATGAATATTTCTTGAAATAAATAAAAATAAGCGGTAAAACAAGTTCAATCAATCTGGCATTGAGTAATTTAACTTTATATTTTTTCATACTATAATAAAATTTTAATGAATATTTCTTAAAATTATTAAAAATAAGCGGTAAAACCGGTTGAACTAATGGTTTTATCCGGTATGATTATCGTGTTGTACTTATAACACTAATTCAGATTTTAGAATATGGTCCAACCCTATTTTCAAGTCAACCAATTGAAAATTTAGAAAATAGAAGGTCAACAAGACCTTATTAGTAAAATATTATTTACATTTAGTTATATAATTTGATTTTAGTAAAGGTAGCATACTATTTATCAATGTAATTTATTTCACTTTTGGTACTATTATTGCATTGTAAAGGTTCCAAATTATATTATTACTAATATTATTTCCTAAAGTGGTTATATTGACATAATAATTATAACGAGTTGACATAATATAGTGCACTAGTCCAACCTTAATTAGTATCAGATTAACTAGTACAATATTCGTGTATTTTAATTTACAAGTACTAGTACAACATCCGTGTATTACACGAATATTGAATTATGAAATATTTATATCAAAATATTTAAAGATAAACATAACAACTTTATTTTAATTTTTTGAATGTCGTTGCCATTATTTTTCGTGATGTATTATTTTCTCACCCACTCAATTAAAAAAGAATAGTATAAATAGTTCATTTTATACATGGTAATATAAAAATATTGAGACGTGTGAATCGCCATAAGATTTAAGGGGAAATGCTAATGTCCCGTTACGGGAACCATCCTGTCTAGGTTGTAACCGTTAGATCATCATATAACCGTTAAAGATAGTTGATCTAATGGTTACAAACTGTTACAGAACCAAAGTTTGGCCGTTTAACAGCCGGTCCTGCGACGGAATGGTTCCGTAACAGAAACGTAACATCTTCAAAGATTAAAGAATAATCATACAAATATGATTACGAATCAACTAAAGTGTATAGGATTGTGAATTACACACACAATTGTTAAGATCAAAATATCAAATATATAATCATAATTGTGTATTATTAAGTTTATTATGTCCACCAAACACCAAGTTGCAGCTCAAAAGCTAGAAACTGCTTTCCGTTAAGATCGAGTTATTATATATTCTTCTCCTAAATAAAAAAACCACACACAAACACGCCCTCCACAGAAAAAAAACCCCTCAAAAACATCGCCTCTCTGCAGAAAAGGCCCAAAATTTCGACCTTTTTTTTCTCGATCTCTGCAGAAAATGGGCGTCGATTACTATAACATACTCAGGTTATCGAGGAACGCGACGGAGGAGGACGTGAAGAAGTCGTACAAGCGGCTGGCCATGAAGTGGCACCCGGACAAGAACGCCGTGAACGCGGCGGAGGCCGAGGCGAAGTTCAAGCAGATTAGCGAGGCCTACGACGTCCTGGGCCACCCCGAGAAGCGGCAGATCTACGATCTGTACGGCGAGGAGGGGCTCAAGTCCGGCATGTACCCGCCGCCGGGGTCCAAGGACAGGGATTTCGGCGGCGGAGGGGGCGGGAGGGGGTTTAGGTTCAGCCCCCGGGACGCGGAGGATATCTTCGAGGAGTTTTTCGGCGGTTTGGATGGAGGGACGGGAATGAGCTCCGC